GGTTCAAATGTACATCTCATACATGCAACAATTAATAAAGTGATTGTTATCTTACTAGTGGTCACGGCAAAGAGGTGCAATCTTTCTCAAGAATATCATATGGAATTTTCCTACTTCGATCCGCTGTTATGTGTTGTCGCAAGTGACAAGTGTTAAAGGGATTGTCAAGAGAATCGGCTCAGGTATGTTAAGGCTATCCCTTCTTTCTTCTGGCATGATCCATACGATACAAACAAAAAGTGCAAATGCACAATTTCTATAAATAGCTCAATTCATAGAAACACTAGAGATGCTTATGTTCTTGATTCCTCATGTGTCATATTATTCTATCATCTGTTCATGGGTCTTGGAAAAATACGTAAGTTGAAGAAAATTTACTTCATGATATTACTCAAAGGCATAATGGTCTTATGACATTTGACATTTCAAGAGATTTTATTGACGTACTTCTCATGCATTGCATTCATGTACATTGACCCATGACCAGATGACGTTATATACGCGTATATATATATATATATATATAATGTATATGGGATATGGTAAAAGGTTACGGTGTTATATATGTACCACCACTTGATCAGCTAGTATACGTTGATGATTTGCCCCCAGTGGCCAAGATGATATGATGAGATGCCCTCAGAGGCTTGATGATGTTATGAACGCATATAACCATGCATGGTATAATATTTATATGCATATGTTTGACATTATAATATTAAATAATTCACATAGTTATTCAGATATACATGTTTGGTGTTTTACTCCATGTTTCTCTCATGTCTACTAGTTACTGATTTTCATTCCTTACATACTCGGTACATTGTTTGTACTGACGCCCCTTTTGCCTGGGGACGTTGCATTTCATGTCTGCAGGTCCTGATAGACAGGTCGAGAGTCCTCCAAGTAGGCTATTAGCTTAGCAGAAGGTGTTGGTGCGCTCTATTCACTTCAGAGTTGCTTCTTTGGTCAGTATGATTAGTACATGTATTGATTGGTATGGCAGGACCCTGCCCCGACCTTTATGATATTATGTATTTTTAGAAACTTGTAGACAAATGTCATGTATACGGATACTTGTATGTCCTTGTCGGCATATGTTTCGAGTATATACAGAATTATGCCGGCCTTATAGGCTCGTACTTCATATGTATATATTTGTATTTCCTCATGCTTTACTCCGGTTATTTTACCTATGATAGAATGATATGAAAGATACCAACATATGGTACTCGATTGAGTAAGGTAACTGGTGCCCGTCGCGGCCCATCGGTTTGGGTCGTGACATTACTCGCCTGATTGCACGCTATTATGCCCTGTTAATTGACTGAACTCCGTACTATCTGTCCCTAATCTAGACTTCAATTGATTTTGGGATTATTTTTTTTCCTTGTTTATGTGTGTTAGATTGCTTTTCTTAGTTGTTTACTTAATTGAACACTATTTAAACCCTTTTATCACTCCCTTTAAAATACTACAAGACTTGAACTCTCCTATTCTCACTACTAAAACTTAAGCTCTCTCTCTCTTGCACCTGTTCTGATTTCTGCACTAAGTGGCTCTTGTTTGGTCGGTTGAAAGCCAAGACCAAATTACTCTGGAATTTAACTATTACTGCATCTTTACTTGTTTTCTTCATAAGTTGATTTAAGGTTCAATCTGCTTGTCAGTTTTGTACCTGTTCTGAACTATGAGCATGTAATCAAGTATGTTTGTGCTTAATTCATATGTCATGTCTGTTCAATTCAAATGCTTCTGCCTAATTGCTTCTATGACTAAGCCATGACTGTTTCAAATACTAGTTCAAGTATTTAGCTTAATCAGATTTTACCATGTTTGAACTATATGCTGAACCTGAACCATGTTTGTTTCTTGGAGTAGTTCTGCCTGCAGCTCTGTATTCTGAACTATCTCTCTTCTAAAAGTTGAACTATTTCAAAACTTTCCTCCTTACCCTTTATGCACTGGTTTTCAAACTCCTATTCTTAGTCATTTAGGTTCTCACCACCCCAAGTGTAAGCATTGCCTAGGGTCCTTGAGACTCCTTTGAACTCCGACACATTGGGGCTAGCTTTTCCAATCTTTTATGAACTTTGTGCTGAATGTGTGGTTCTAGTGTGAGCATTTTCCGAGGTCCCTGAGGCTCTTTGGGAACTTTGACATACTAGAAGCCTAGTTTAATGTGTTGTGAATGGATCACTGCTATGCTTCAGAGCAGCTGTGTTTGAAGGCCTGGTCCCCAGGTTTAGATTGGGCCTATGAAGGCTCCCTATAGTGTAATCGTTACTATTATGTAATTCATTCATTCTGGGCTGTGATAATCTCTGTAATAACATATTTGGGGTTATTAGTAAAAGCTGGGGGGGTTCTTATACCTTTGTTGAAACTGGGTAGAGGTCCTGCCTATAAGTTTGATTATGCTGGTTGAACTATGTGGATACTATACTGTGTTTAGAGATCTTGCCTAAACGATTTTTCATGATCATTTTGATTCTGTGTTTCACATCTGCATGCTAGAAACCCTGCTTATAGGACTTTACGTTTAATTCTGCACATTAGAAATCCTGTTCATAGGAACTACACATATTTTCAATCCAATGTGTATTAGTGACCATGTCTGTAGGGCTTTTGTTGATTATCTTTCATAACAACCTGTTAATTTTTGTCCAAATACAATTAATAAATATCATGCCTATAAGAAAAAAAATTGGTTTCAAACCTAGAAATCATACTTATAGGATTTAAAACTAATAGATATCATGCCTATAGGGTGAAATCAGTTCTGAAACTTAGAAATCATGACTGTAGTAGTTTAAATCAAGTTAGAAATTAGAAATCATGCCAATAGGGGTTTAAATCAATTCAGTAATTAGAAAGTATGCCTATAAGATCTAAAAGAAATAAAAATATCTTTATGAGTTAAAATCAGTGCTACACTTAGAAATCATGCCTATAGGTCTGTAATTGACAAACTCATAGAAATCATGCCTATAGGATCCTGTTAGGCTATTATGAATTCAAGCGCTCTTGTAAATCACTTAGGCAATAGATTCGTAGAACTTACTAATGATTCTGGGTTTAAAACTATGACATACTACTGCCTGAAATGCCCAGATTCATGCTGAATAAAATCAGTAGGCAAATAAATAGGTCTTAATTCTCGCCTTAACAAAGCTATCTCTGAACCCTATTTTCTCGCATAGATGTCCTGCCTATAGGATTTCTAAATTAATAAGTTTGTTGGTTCAAATGCGTGCTTTGTTGCTTATGTGTGGAGGTTAATATGAGCCTACACTTGATTTTTATCTGAAGTCCTACTTGCTTTTTTGTGCGCCGCCTAGATTTCACAATTTTAAGGTTGGTCTAGAACCATCCCAAATAGAGGTCCTAATACCTCCAGGACCATAGGTAAGGGACGGGTAATGCACACATATGGTACTGTGTAGAATCAATAAGTGCGCTTAAGTAACAACTTGAAGATAGTAATTGGGTAGTAAAAGAAATGATAGCTCATGCGCTAATGCTATGAGTTAAACCCTGACTTGAGGGAGTTGCAAAGCATTACATGGAATGATCCTATAGGCTAAAAAACTTAAGATCACCCCCTATACTCCTGTGTAAAATAAATTGAATATTGTATTTGTCCAAATTGTCCTCTCTCCTTTGTAGACTAATTCGCTTAATTTAAGTTCGGCCGGGACCTACCATTGTGGACCTCGAGGGGTGCCTAACACCTTCCCGTCAAGGTAATTTTGAGTCCTTACCCTATCTCTGGTGATGTAGATTGGTTATCTGAGTTAATTACTTTAGGTGCCCTAACACACCTTATTAAATCCGTTAGGTGGTGACTCTTTCAAATCAAATCCCTACCCTCACAGAAATGAGTTGTCCTAGAAATGTCGAAACCCGATTTCGCGAGAAAAAGGGGGCGCAACACCACCTGCAGCCAACGAGCTGCTTCTACGGCGCCGCACATGCAGCAAATCCTTTCAGGTGGAAACGCACCAGAAGCTATGCTGCTTCAGTAACTTCTTCCAAGTCCAAACGAGTTCCGCGCATCGTCTGAATGGCATCCAAGGCCCCCGAGGCCTCGTCCAAATATACCAACAAGTTTGAAATCATAAAACCGACCTACTCTAACACTCGAAACACAGAAAACAGCCCCAAAACTAAGAATTACACTCCAAACCAAATCGAATCAACTTATGAACTTCAAGTTTTTCCAACTTGCTCCAAACGCACCGAATCATACTTAGACTATTCAGAATGACACCAAATTTTGCGTGCAAGTCATAAATCGCCACATAGAACTATTCCCAGGCTTGGAATCCCAAATTGACCTCGATAACACCAAAACCTACTTCAAACCAAATTTAAAGAACTCACAAACCCTTCAATGTGCCAACTTTCAATATTAAGCGCCGAAACGCTCCCGGTTCATCCAAAACCCAATCCGAATGTACGACCAAGTCCAAAATCATCACACGAACCTATTGGAACCGTGAAATCCTGATTCTGAGATCGTTTACTAGAAATGTTGACCCAAATCAAACTTAACCCTTTAAGGACAATATTAAGGAACTAAGTGTTCCGATTTCAACACGATCCCTTCTAAACCCAAACTAACCATCCCCGCAAGTCAAAATAGTAAAATCATATACGGGGAGCCTTATTTTGAGGAACAAAGATGTAGAAAGTAAAACAATCGGTCGGGTCGTTACATGAATCTTGTCTATTTCAATCCCCCAAGATTCGAATTCGACTTTTGAGTCATTCAACAATTCACATATTTAACCTTTCGTATATGTATTACGTATTCAAATTTATTTGAAAGAGTGGGAGAAAAAAATGAGTGGAGATAGAATATAGATGGGGTATATCTCGCCAAACTAGATAAAGCTATTATTCTAACCTAGACTTTAAAAGGATATGAATGTTGATTCATACCAATTAATTAGAAATTAATTCGAGGGAAGAGAGACCCATGCAAATTAATCATGTGCCAGGAACAAGAATTGAACTGGTGATACGAGGATTTTCAATCCTCCGCTCTACCAACTGAGCTATCCCAGCTATTCATAATGTATTATCCTCATTTTATTAGAGAACTGGGGTCTATGTCAACTAAAAGGCCAAAAGTAAATTTTTTTATCAAAGCCGGGGAATTTCTTCGATCTTCAAAAAGATGACTTTGTAATTTTGAGTATGAGCAATGATATTGATAGCAAAATCAACCAGGGATTCCTTGCTCAAATATGCTAATTTCTATGTGTATCATATATATAACAAGACTTATGATAAGAGAAAGTCATTTACGCTCAAATCCATTTTTAAGAGAATATAGTCAATGAGAAAGATAAGGAATTTTACCGCTAAGGAATGGGGGTTAGATTAATAATTGGGGAGTGAAATAGTCTTTTTGGTGATAGATGGAATTCGACCCTCACGATTTTTAAAGTCGGCAGATTTTTCTCTTACTATATAATTTCAGTGTTGCCGGTATTGATATGTAGAACAGGACACTATATTTATTCTTGGCAGATTAATCAGTTCTTCAAAAGATCTATCAGACAACTGTACTATATTTGGTTTTCTATTACTGCTCGATGTCAAACGTCATCGTTCCACAGAGTTGGGATTCTGTTGTCTAGATAAATATCATGTATCAAACCTTAACAAAAACTAAATTGCAACCAGTGATGGCCGAGAGAGTACTATGCTAGATTAATATCACACCTTACCAAACAATTTGGATTCTCCAAAGTTAAGTCACTCACATAAATTCTCCTTTTCATGTTTTCCACTTCTAAGATACCTTTAAGCTGCTATTTTGACGAAAGGAACAATATATTCATTAACTATAGGGAGAACCAAGCTAATGAATGGTGTCGGAAGATAGTTGAATTGGAACTTCTAAATCAAGATTCTGACAAATGTAAGTTGATTATTCAGCAGAACGTGAGGGGAAGATTAACGAGTTTAACAATGACAAAGGTGAAAGCTGAGACAACTAAAAAGTGCATTCCTTTACCTAATGACGAGGCATACAATTTTAATTAGACAAAGATAGCATAAAAATAGTGGAGTATGTAAAATAGAAAAGAATATAATGAATTGAGCAAAAAACTAAAGAGCGAGAGCATTATCAAGAATTATAAAATATAACAAGAACTTGAATATGAAGCTCCTACACAGTTTTATGAACAAAATACTAACACAACTCTATTTACAGTTTTATTTTGTGAACTCACGAACTTTAAACTTTTACATTCACTTAATTATACAAAGAGTCTTGAGATATATATTAGTAATATTCACTAATTACTTTCATATTATTTTTTAGGTCAGTGACTAAGATTCATTGGCTTGTTTACATTCCCTTTAGCTTTTGCTTATTAACTAAGATCAAGTGTATTTGCTACATTCAAGTTTCATGAAAGAATAGGTTGCCTTTTTCACTCTATTCGGTCTTATTATGATTGAACTTTTAATTCCACTATAATTAAGGAAAATGCATAAGTATCCCTCCGACCTATAGTCGGATTTCCAACTACATACTTAAATTTTGTTATGGTCCAATAACCCCTAAGCTATTTTATAGTAGAATAAATATCCCCTTGAGAGATGACGTGGCATAGAAATGTGTTCACTTTCTTGGAGCCGCGTGAGAGCATAAAACTGCCTTAAAATTTATTAAATGTCTACATATGTCTTTTTACAATTGGATACTTTATAATTAGTTATATTTTAATAATAAACAATCTCTAACCCATTTAATTATTTTTAGTCGCTGTAAGGGATTCCCACAAGAACTCCGGCGAACTCCTCGACGAAAAAATGGAGTCCAGCTCACCATTTTCGTCTTCCTCCACATTTATTTTTACTCGTACATCCCCCTTTTTGCAGCTACAATAAAGACCCAGTAAAAACTACCAACTATTGAATTAAAATATGAAGATAATAATGGTTTGACAACTCTAGAACTTGAAAGGATCAAAAGCACCGGCGATGACAATGAATCTAATTTTTTTTATTTATTTTTGTACTATACTCTGAGAAGTTCTTGAGGATTAATAGATCCACATTTCTTTTATGTTATACTCTGATTGATCGGTATTAGTTGGAATTATGTTTGTAATGATATAATAAAGTTCTATGGTTATGAGATTGGTGAAAATAAAAATGGTGGAAGTCAAAGTTTTCTTTTGGAGGTGGTAAAGATATGGTGTCTGGTGAAGCAAGTATGACAATGGTGAGTTTTAGGGTTATTGATAATGAAGGCGAGAGAAAGAATAGAGAAAAAAAGGAGAAGATTTAAAAGAAATAAAAATAATAATAATTTTAGTGGTAAAAAACATTGAGGCATGTGTACTCCACTACACGACATGTATGTGGCTGTGACATTTTAAGGGTAAATTTATTCCATTTTAAAATAGTTTTTTGTGGGGGG